TGAGGCCCTGGGTTCAATTCCTCAGCACCACATAAGCAAAAAGAAAAAAAGCCGGAAGTGGCACTGTGGCTCAAGTGGTAGAGCGCTAGGCCTTGAGCTGAAGAGCTGAGGGACAAGCGCCCAGGTCCAGAGTTCAGGCCCCACAACCGGACCCAAAAAAAAAAAAAAAGATTTGAGTGTTATAGAAGAGGAGAATTCAGTTTAATGATGTCACTTCTGGTCTAGTGTGATTTTTCACAGCCTCCATTAAGTAGTCATTAACTTTGTTCAAGCCCTAATCCATAAGAGCTTGGGGTCCAGCTTCCCTAGTGTCCATTAGTAAGAACTAATAATCAGTAACAATAAGAACTAATATAAATGCCTCAACTTGATAGCATCCTCAATCACTGTGATTACCATGCTTTTGATTTGGTATTTCCTAAGTCAGGATTTTGCTGTGTAGGCCAGATTAGCTTGGAACTCAGGATCCTGCCTCAGCCTCCTGAGTGTTAGGACTACTGGTGCGCCGCGTGTAGCTAGTTTATGTCTTTGGTTTTAACCAATGATTCTCAGCTCAGAAAGCATGTCTTCCTGGGAGTTACTGTGATGGAATCTGAAAAAGAACTTTGAGCATATATAATATACTTGGGACAAAGCCTGTTGTGGGAATGCCAGCTTGAGAATGGAGCAGGTGCACGGACCAGAATCTCGGAGGCAAGCATATTTAGGATTCTTCTCTTCTTTTTTAAATAACAGCTTTGCTAGGTGCCTGTAATCTCAGCTACTTAGGCAGAGACAGGAAGATTGTAATTTGAGGCCAGGGTAGGTCAAAAGTTCGTGAGACTATCTCAGTAACAAGCTGGGTATTATAGTTTTGAATGCCAGCTACGCAAGAATCATAGGTAGTAGGATTCTGGTCTGAGACCAGTTCAGGCAAAAATGCAAGACCCTATCTAAACAATAACCAAAGCTAAAAGGGCTGGGCATATGATTAAAATGATAGAGTACTTGCCTATTAAGCACAAAGTCCTGAGTTCAAAGCGTAATATTGACAATAAAACTTCCTAGTTTTACTGAGAGATGATTCTCATAAAATCCACTTTTTCAAAGGGTCCAATAGTGGTTTTCAGTATATCCACAAACCTTTGTCATTCTCACCATTGTCTATTTTTAGCACTTCCCCCAAAGAAACCCTATTCTTATTAGAAAACCCTTCCCATTCCTTTCTCCAAATCCTGGCAATCATTAATTTACTTTCTATCACAGTGGATTTGAATGTTCTGAACTTTTAATAAATAGAATCATAAAAAATTTTCTTGCATTTTGTAGTTGGCCTCTGACACTAAGCATAATGTTTCAAAGGTTCTGTCATGGTGTAAAATGTATAAAGCTTCATTGCTCTTCATGGCTGAATAATATTACTCCAGCTAGATACAAATTTGATCCATCTATTGGTCAATGTACATGTGGCTTTCTACTCTTGGCTTTTACAACTAATGCAGCCTCTGTGGTCTCAGTTTTGTATGGGCCCATGTTTTCACTTTTCTTTGGCATATACACAAGAGGCACTTCTGGGTCAGATAGCAACTGAGCCTTTGGAGGAGCTGCTAAACTGTTTTCCACTTCCCATTCCCACCAGCAGCGTGTGAAGATTCCAGTTTCTCCACCTCTTTGTTGACATTTGTTGTTGCCTAAAATTTTCTTAGGCATTATAGTGAGTGTGAAATTGTGTCTTACTGTAGTTATTACTTGCATTTCCATGAGTACTAATTATTTAAAGCATCTTTTCATATGTTTGTTGGCCAACTGCATATATTCTCTGGTGTTATGTCTGTTTTAATTCTAATTGTGTGTGTGTGTGTGTGTGTGTGTATGTGTGTATGTGTGTCTGTATGCAGGGTCTTCTGCTTGCTAGGTGAGTACTTTGCTGCTGAGCTACATCCCAGCCCTAATTCAGTGTATTTTTAAATTACTTCTTGGGTTGATGATGTAGCTCAGTGGTAGAGCATCTTCCTTGAAAGCGTGCATGAGGCTCTAGGTTCAATCTTATTGTTCAATTGGAAGAGTTCTTTACATATTCTGGATGTTAATCCTTTACCAGACATACAATTCTGTAATATGTCCCATTCTTTTTCTTTCTTATGTCTGTAATACAATAGACTTTACTTTTGATGAGTTTCCTTTCCTTTTTTTTTCTTTTTGGGTGTTAGTATTGTACCTCAGAACCATTTTCCATTTCAGTATTATCAATATTTAATTCGACATGTCCTCTAAGATTTTTAAAAGTAGTTTTAGTCCTTACGTTTCAAGTAATACATTTGTGATACATTTTACATTTTTTTTGTGCATGGTGTGAGATGAGAATCCAACTTTATTCTTTTGCATGTGGAAATGTAGTATGTAGAGTCTTAATGCTTATAAAAGGGATCATAGATTTTAAGAGATTAAGAGACAGTTTAGGTAGTGTGACAGGGACCAAGCACCATGACGGCAGAGGACTGTTGTCCTGACGCCAGGAAGGAGTGTGGAGGAAACGTTAGAATGGAGGCTCAGTGCTTCCTCAGGCCTGGGCATGAGCAGTGGTCAGGCCCCGCCTAGTGGGCTGCACACCAGTCCTCTCAGCACTTGGGAAGCTGAGGCAGGAGGATCTTGAGTTTAACATCAGGCTGGGCAAAGTTAGTGAGATCTTATCTCAGAAACAAAATAAAACACAAAAAGATCTGGAAGCATGGCTTATGTAGTAGAGCATTTGCCTAGTATGTGAGAATCCTTGGGTTCAGTCCTTAGTATTAAAAATTAAAAACAACAACAATTTAGGCTTCTTGGTATGACACATTGGAGAAAGAAGAGAGCAGAGAAAACAAGACGGGAATAGTCTCACAGTGAGATGACTCAGGCTGGAATTACTGATGAGGCAGTCACTTCATACCTCCCTCCCCCACCATGACCGTCGGGCGAGCCTCCCCGCACCCCCCTTCTCAGCCCTTTCTCCCTGAAGTCATATAGCCTACCTTCCTATCACAGGATGCTATGTTGGGCCTTCGTGCAACCTGTTGGAACTGTTCTCCATTTTACCTTGAAGAAATAGATGAGCGGTTCAGCAATTGATGCAAAGTTTCTAATCAATGACTGAACTAGCCACAATAATACTGAGCTCATGGGAGATATAACCTCACAGCTGTACACATTTAGATAAAAGAATATTTGAATCAGTAAACCAGCAATCATGGTGTTTAATTAATGGTTGGCTCAAGTTGGGACATAATGACTTTGTTGTATGCTTGTTGTTTTGAAAAACTGGCCTTACTATGTTCCATATCACCCACTAAATATAATTTTAAAATCTGTTTCCTTTCAGGTCCGGTAAAAAGTGCCAAATCTGCAACCTAACAGTGATCAGAAGAGAAGTCAAAATTATACTGAGCACACCCTTTGTAAAAGCCTGCATTTTCTTCTAGTAGCAGGAAAGTCAAATCTATTCATGCCAATTGGAGTCAAGAACAATAGATGTTTTATAAAAATATTTCAAGTATTAACTTCAGCACTTTGTTTTATCTGTTCAGCCTCTGGTCTAATCTGGAACAAGAAAATATTAAAAATTGTCTTCTGGTTATTAACTATTACCTTTTTGGTCCAAATTAAAATTCACTTCTAAGGTGGAGGAGGGGTATAGTTTCTAGGTAAAAGTCTTGTTTATCTTTAACTTCTATTTATCTTTAAATTAACAAAAGTACATTCTGAGTAGTTGTATATGTAGAAGCTGTTCCGTGCTCTAGGTTTGGCAGTGTTAATTAACACTGTACCAGAACCCATGCCATTTCTTCTCCTGTCCTATTTTCAATTTCTTTCTTTCTTTGACTTAGCCACCATAATTAGTCACATATTGATCTTTTTTTTTTAAATTGTGAAAATACTGTACAGAGGGGTTACAATTACATGGGCAAGATAGAGAGTACATTTCTTATCAAGCATTGTAGCCTCCTCCTTTGTTTCCCCTTCCCATCCTTTCCCATCCTCTCCCTGCCCCCCCCCATCCTCCCGTAAAGTTCGTTTTCGACATACGTTTTCGACATAACGACTTGTACATCTCATTGTTGCAATGGGTCCACATGTATCCCTATTTTTTTATTATTTATTTTTGTTTAAATTTCCTATTGATAATTTGTTTTGGTTGGTCATAGGGCTTGAACTCTGGGCTTGGGCGCTGTCCCTGTGCTCTTCAGCTCAAAGCGAATGCTTGAGCCACAGCGCCACTTCCAGTTTTCTAGTGGTTTATTGGAGATAAGAGTCTCATGGACTTTCCTGCCCAGGCTGGCTTTGAACCACGATCCTCAGATCTCAGCCTCCTGAGAAGCTAGGATTACAGGCATGAGCCACATGCGCCCGGCTTCCTATTGATAATTTTTAAACGTCTGTTTTCTAGCCCCTGAATGTTCTGTTACTTTGTGACTTCCTTGAAAAGATTTATAGAAAAGGAAATGTTTAAAACAACAGCTTATTTTCTTGTTCTTACAACTTCATCCTCTTTGTCTTGCTCTGCAAGCTAGCCTTTCATTTTTGAGGAGAGGGAAAATGAATATGCAATTCAGCAATACTTTATCCTTGACATTTTCCCTCAGTTTTGAGATAATCCTGTTTTAAATGTCTCCCACACTTTATAAAGTTTTGAGTTGTTTTTTTTTAATACTGCATGAGCAAATCAGTTTCAATTTCCTTTACATAGAAGTGTAGGCAATAACTCTCACCCCTTCTCTGGCGGCTGCAGCCGGTGTTTACGAGCTGTGGAGCAATACGGAGGTAGTCTGCATTGTTCTGGTCTCTGAGTTCAGGGTATTTTCCAGTAGTCCACTTGGTTGTCTCTGCTTTCACTTTGCTCCTTTGAAGCCTTGATCATGAATAAAACATGACTTTTCCAGGTATGAGTAGGGGAGATTCCTGGACTTCACTTGCCAATTCCTTAGCCCCCTTTTCTGGAGCTCCCCTAGAATAAAAGAAACCTCTCCATTCACCTGTCTCCAGTCTTTATCCTCAGATCTTTTCTAGCTTTTGATACATTTGCAGATAGCTTATTTGTAAGACTCAGTGTATCGGCACCTTTCTGCCAATCAAGAGCCCTCTCCTGTCTCCCAATCTGCCTTTCTTTTTTTTTTTTTAATTTTTTTTTTTTTTGTCGGTCGTGGGGCTTGAACTCTGGGCCTGGGCGCTGTCCCTCAGCTCTTCAGCTTAAGGCGAGCGCTCTACCACTTGAGCTACAGCGCCACTTCCGGTTTTCTGGTGGTTTATTGGAGATAGGAGTCTCACGGTCTTTCGTGCCCGGGCTGGCTTTGAACCGCGATCCTCAGATCTCAGCCTCCTGAGTAGCTAGGATTACAGGCGTGAGCCACCAGCGCCCGGCAACCCAATATGCCTTTCTAACTCCTCCACCAGCTCCTCTTCTTCCTCTTGCCCCCTTGGGGACCTCTGAGGATTCAGTTCTGATGCTTGGTGAAGCAGTTTGTAATTCTGCACCCCCTATTACAAAGGATGAATCTTTCCTCCTTTGGGGCATGCAGAGGGCCAGTCACTTCATTCTGAGTAATGTGAATGGTGTGGTTTTTTTGAGGGAAGGGACTTTATCTTACTTGTCATTTATATAGAGTTTATAGGATAGCAACTTAGTAAATAGTATTTGAATGAATTCACTTAGTACTACCTTAGTCATAGGACTTATTACTACCTTATTCATAGACCCCTCTCCATTACTCTTCATTCATTTATAGAGCTTGTTGATCTTTTTAAAAGTGACTCCAAACCTACCTCCATACCTTGCTTATTCCAGTGCCCCATTTCTGTACCCACTTCTCCTGCAGACAAGGCCCAGGCACATCCGACACTCTGAAGTCTCCTTGATCCTCTATTTCCCAAGCCTTCATCTTGTCATGCTATTTTTTAGGGTGTGTAAACCTAGTGATTACTGAAGGATTCCTGGATCTGATTTCAAAGTTTCTTCTGACGTGAGGATCCAAACATGTATTTAAATCTATGAAGGGAGCTATAACTTTGGTCTGTTTAGAGAGATATAGTACCTCTTGTTGCACTGAATTATAGGTAGATGCATGGAGAGCTACAACACCTCATGTTTGAAGCTCAAGTCTTGCTCTGCTGCATGCTTTTCTTGAACTTTTGCAGAGTGATTGTTTTTGAAAGCACATATTAGTATCAGGAAAACCTCCACATAAGTGAGAGGTGGTTAATCAAGGGCTAAGTTCAGTGTTAAGGTATGATAACTTACAAACAGTGATTCCTTAGGTTTTTGTGTTGTAGTGATTGGAAAAAAAAACAGTGAAAAATTAAAGGGAGGATATTCTTATGACATCATTAGGAAAACAACTACTATGTACTGTCACTACCTTTTTTTTTTTTTTCTTCCAGTCGGTTGTGGGGCCTGAACTCTGGACCTGGGCGCTTGTCCCTCAGCTCTTCAGCTCAAGGCTAGCGCTCTACCACTTGAGCCACAGTGCCACTTCCAGCTTTTTCTGCTTCTGTGGTACTGAGGAATCAAACCCAGGGCCTCATGCATGCAAGGCAAGAACTCTTACCACTGAGCCACCTGCCCAGCCCCCTGTCATTACCTTTTAACACTAGAAAAGCAGGGAAGATCTAATCTCAGCATAAGGTTTGATCCTTAAAATTGAATAAATTAAACTTTATTATAGAATTTCATGTTTCATTTGTTTTTCTCATTTGACTATGTATAGTTGAACTTTTATCACAATTCAGAATCATTGTCTGCCCCAGCCTTTGAAAGCTACTGCTCTAGACAGAGCAAAGGAGGCAGACACCGTGTTCACACAGTGGCCCTAAATTGTAAAGGACTGAGTTACGCCAGCATTCATTCTAACTTGCGGTACGCTGAATTTTCCAAGATGACCCCATCTCCATCTCCCAGGCTTCTTTGATAATGTGGTGGTTTCCTGCCTAGTGACATGGTCTGCACCAGCCTCTGATCCCCGTGGCAGTGAGCCGCTGTGATCTCCAAGGCTAGATCACAGAGGAAGATGTGGCTTCTTCCCAATTCTCCGAGGATGCTTTCTCTTTGAAACCTGTCTGTGGAGAAACCTGCAGGGAAAAGACCCAAGGCCTCAAGCCACAGGGCTGGCTGAGCTCCAGCGGCCATCCACTCCACCTGCCAGACACACAACTAAGTCACCCGGGAAGTGGATTCTGCCGTCAAGCCACCCATACTTCATGGAGTAGATACCAACTCTCGGCTGGGCACTGCCAAAATTACAGATTTGTGAGCTAAATAAATGAACGTTACTGTTTTAAGCTACTCAGTTTTGTTTTTGTTCGTTGCATAACAAAATATAACATTTGTTTTGCGGCCCGAGCCTGAGAAATTGACGTAACAGAAGCCACAATCTGTGTGACTTTGGCAGGGGGACCGGTGGTGGGTAGAGGTCGGGAAGGTCTAGAGAGAAGTGCGTGCGAGGGCAAGAGGCATCATGTAGTAGAAGCTTTCAGGGCCCCAGGAGGCTACTAGTGGGAGCCTATTGTTATTGGAGAGAAAGGGACCCGGTTAAAGAGGGGCCACACCATTATTCTAAGTAATGAGCTTAATAACCCTGCCTCAAGAACATCTCCAGATTGTATTCCAGCACCACCTGGCTTTTCCCAAACTTTGAGATGAGGAGAGAGATGAGCTGAAAAAGCCAAAGATCAGCTTTCAAATAAACTTTTGAAAGTCATATAAAGGAGGGTGACATGGATCAAATGCATTGTATTCATGAACTGCTTGTTAAATGGCAACTCTTTTGTACAGCTACCTAAATATAATAATAAAGGCGCCTAGACTTACTGGTTTTGCAAAATAAAATTGCAACAGATGCAGTGGCTCAGGTCTGTAACTCTTGCTACTCAGGGAACTGAGATCTGAGGATAACAGTTCAAAGCAAGCCTGGGAAGACACATGGGAAAGACTCATCTCCAACCAGCCAGCAAAATGCCAGACTGGAGGCATGACTCAAGTTGTAGAGCATCAGCCATGAGTGACAAAAAGCCAAGCAAAAGTTCAAGGCTCTCAGTTCAAGCCTTCATATTAACACACACACACACACACACACACACACACACACATTTTTTCTCATTTCCAGTCTTTCTAGATGGCAATGCATTTTGAAATTAAGAAATTACTTCTGGGAAAAGATAAAACGCAGGCTGGCATTATGTGGTTAACTGCTAAAATTTTAGAAATATCTAAGCTGGTACCTCATAGAACATCTCACATCTTAGGAGAAAGCCAGGTAGGTATTCTCTAGGTGTATCATGCAGTCAGCATCACCGATTAACTCAAGTGGAAACAGAACAATTCTTTCTCTGAGTATTGGTGGTATCTCAGTACTAGGAACCATCTGATTGGCCCTGCCTGAATCCCATTATAACCCTTGAGCCTCTCATAGTGTCAGGTGGATGAGAACCTGTGAGTAACCTGCCTATGTTATGGCCTATCTCAGTCACATCATATGGCATATTACCAGAGCGCAGGCTTGGGGAAAGGCACCGGGCAGCCTCCCAGCCTTAGCTTTCCTAAACGTTTAAAGTTCATTTTTGCTGGCTTTAAATAAATGGTGAAACAATTTATTAGGGCCTTTTAGAAAGGTGATAATGAAGGGGAATTTGATCATATCTGTGTTTTCCTATGTGTTTGTTACCTGAGGTTTTCAGAACTTTATGTAAGTCAGAGCTGACTAAAGTTCAATCTGAGTTTTCCTGAAATATGAGGATTTGGAGCATCAGAATTTTGGAACTTGAATACAGAGGAGTCTCTTGCTGGGTGCTGGTGGCTCGTGTCTGTAATTTCTGCTGCTCAGGAGGCTCCAGCCTGGGCAGGAGAGTCCGTGAGACTCTTGTCTCCAGTTAACCACCAAAAAGCTAGACATAGAGCTGTGCGCAAGTATTAAATCACTAGTCTTGAGCAGAAAAAATAATCTCAGGGACAATGCCCAGCCCCAGGATTGCACACAAAAACAAACAGGAAAATACAGACCCTTACTCTAGGATTTAGATGGACCAAGTAAGCCTAAGGAGACAACATGGGATAGGAACTAGGTAGAAGCTGGAAGGACATTGGTTAAAATTACCTGAGGCAGGGCGGCTGAAGAGAGCGAAAGGTGCTGAGAGAAAGCAAAGTGGCAAACAGTATAGATGGATAAGGTGAAAAGAGGAGAAGGCAGAGGGAACTCAGCAAATAGTCAACATTTCCTTAATTCATAAGCGCTGTAGATGACGGATAATATATCTGGCACTATTCCTGCTGAGAAGGTTCCTTGGTACGATGAACAACCACATTGATTAGTGAAACACAGGGATGCGAGGGAACCTCTGCATCACAAGACAACCCCTCCTTAAAAGTTACCTACGAAACAAGTAATATTCATGCAAAGAATTAATGTACTGTATTTGTTTCTAGTAATTAGATCTGAAGCAAAAAAAATATTTGCTAGGCATTACAGAATTTAAGGCTGCATCTTTTCCTTCTGTGAGAAGGAGTAACATTGTCTCTTTAAATTAAGGACCAAGAGCCAATGATTGGAGAGAGGAGCAAAATAAGAATGAGAAACATTAGAAGGGAAGACAAAGAAACTGGAAAAAGTTGAAAGAAAATGAAGCAGAAAAGAGAGAGAGCTACATTGAAGAAGGTTATAACTGAATTGAATTGGGTTGGCAAAAGGAAAAGAGTATACATGTTCAAAAAATACATAAAAAGATGAGCTGTCTAAATGGCGAATAGCACTGACCACTTCCTCTGATTATGCCAGTCAAGAGGAATCAGTTACAACTGTTTTGCTTATGGTCAACAGCTTGAGCACTAAAGAAATGCAAGCTTCCTTGGAAGTAGAAAATAGCCTCTTCAGGATTGGTGGTGAGGATAGTGTGTGTAGCCAATCAGAATATAGCAGGTTGGGAAGAAACCAATGGGAAGAAGGAGTGGGAATGGATTTTGCCTGGTGATATCAGTTGGCAGTACCATCCCTGGCAAACAGACTGGGGCTGATCCTGTTCCTAGAGATTTTCAAAGCCGTCATCTTGACTTCAGCTCTGAACCAGCTTAGTCTGGGATGATCATGTCTCTGGTTTTTGGCAGTTTGAAGAAAAACTTGATTTAAAGGTCATTAAGGTGGGGACAGAATGGTTTGACAAAGGACTCCTAACGGCTATTCGAGGGTCAGGTGAAGTGATTTGAAGATGTGGTGCTTTTCTGGCCCACCCCCTGATTTATAGCATAATTATTCTGACCAGTAACTACACAAAGATAAAATATAAATATTATTTAAAAATATTTAGGGTTGGTTAAATACTTTTTCTTTAGGACCTTCTAGGAGTTACTAAGATAGAAGGGCTGCGATGAAAAAAATCAAACAGCAGGAGTCTCTTTCAGGACCTGTACACACATTTCTGCAGCTATGTCCCAGACTAGAACACAGCTGAGGCTGAGGGTCAAGGCCCACCCTATTATTGAGATGCCTGAAACTTTGAAAAAGAGGCTCGAATTTAATCCAAGTCCTCATACGATGAGAACTCAGCCTCAGTATTTTATTTTGTTTTTAGATGATCCAACCCCATCTTCATGTCCAACTTTGGCCTGGTTTGCCATGTGCCATTTTCAGTTTTAAGGAGAGGAAGGAGTACTGGTATTAGAATAGTGAAATGGAATTCTAGCATGGTCTGTGCCCCTCCATTTACCCTTGCTCCTTCCTCACCAAGATTTGGGTTCATCAAGCATTATGAACAGCCTATCTTGTGTCACATATGATGTGCACAGCCTTATTGAAGGTCAGTTTTTAGCTATGGCCTTTGGGAAACTTCTTGTTTACTTGGGGTGGGGGGCTGGGGAAGCAAACGTTTTCACGTCATGACAGTAGTAAGTGCAATAATCTGTAATAACCTTTTATGTATGCAGCAGCCTTGAGAAGAAATGCTAACAATGCTCTTAGGGTCCCTCTATAATATCCTTGAACACGAGTTAGATCCATCAGTGTAAGTGTGTGCTTTGGGCAGTCTGAGTGTGATACCCTCTCAGGTAGAGACCGTGTGGGTGAACAGGGCCCTGAAGGGCCTCAGGTTTCTCTTTGTATATTATAACAGGTTAGTCTGTGGTAGAGAAAGTATCAGCACATGTGAGTTCATCCACCGAGGCTTGGAGAAATAATGACAAAGACCAAGATCAATTCTTCCTTCTGGATAATGGAAGACAGCAAACCCGATTTACTCTGCGGAAGGTCAGCTGATTACTATGTGATAGAGGAGCACTTTGCAATGCTTGTATGTGCCACTGTTGTCCTGGGAGGTAGGTAATGATCCCTAAAACTCATCTCTTCTTTACCCTTTGAGCTTTTTAAAAATCAGATTATGGTAAAGTGATTCTAACTACATCCAAAGAAAATGGGACTTCAAGATGTGAGTAAATTCTGTCAGTTTCGCTTCATTCAATTTCAAACTATTTTTTGCTAGTACTGTGGTTTGAACTCAGAGTCTTGTACTTGCTAGGCAGGTCCTCTACCACCTAGCCATGGCCCAACCTTCTTAGAACAACTTTAAGTAGCACCTAAATGTGTTCCTTCATTAGGTAACATGAGTAAATTACCTTAGGTGAGTAATTATTAATGTAAGATAATCTATATAGACAGTAAGTTTGATTCATTTCTCACCATCAGATCCATTCACTGGTACAGTGGTGGGGTTGGTACTTAAGGAAGGTGAGACAGGCCTTGACCTCATGGCACCCTCTCCTGAGGGGGACAGGCAAACAAGTAACTCTGGTGCATTGCGCCAAGTATACACATGGAGGTAATGCTGTGATTCTCTGGTAATAAGGCCCACCCTGACAAAAATATCTGAGAACTTGAGAGGTGATTGTAGCAACCACACAAAGGCAGCCAAGACATAAAATTTACAGCCTGCACAGTCAGTGTCCTTAGCTTTTACCATTTGTTGTGGCTTTGGGTGTGATTATTTCTCTAGAGAAGATGACAGCCCACCTTCACTGCCTCTCTCCAGAAGGAAATTTGGAAAGACTTCACAAATAAGGGCCACTCAACCTTTGATTAAGAACTCAACAGGTGTAGAAAATGGTATTTACACGGATAAAGTAGCAGACAGTGACACCGGCACTGAATTCTACGATTCAGCCCTAGTGATTAGGGAAACATGTGTAGACTTCTGCCAAGGAGAATTTGTAAGGAAGAAGCAATGTCAGCTGCTCGTAAATCCTTTCTGGGATGTGGAGGAGGCGCTTCAAAAAACTAAAGTTAGCCTAGGAACCAGTGGCTTACTGTAAGCCTAGCTACTGAGAAGGCTGAGATCTGAAGATCATGGTTCAAAGCCAATTGGGCAAGAAAGCCTGTGGGACAGTTATCTCCTAACCACCAAAAAGCCAGAAGTGAAGCTGTGGCTGAAATGGCAGAGCTCTAGCTTTGCACAGAAAAACACAGGCATAGTACCCAAGCCCTGGGTTTAAGCCCTAGGACTGGCACATACAAAAAAGATATACATATATACAGATCCCTATATGAACATATATATACATATACATGTATATGAATATATGTACATATACACATATGTACACACTATATGTATTATATGCATACAGTATTATGTGCATAATATATTTGTATATTATATCCATAGTTATGTATACATAGAACTTGATTGTAACTATGCAATTAGAGGGAAATGGGAGAAGAGAGAGAATGGTGGAGGGTAAATAATACTAAAATACATCGCATATATATATATATATATATATATATATGAACAATCTCCTTTCTGGAATTAAGATGTGAAGGAACAAAATAAGGAAGTTGATATGAATAAAGAACATCTTCAATTTTATATCTTGTATCCAGCTGAAATTGCTTTCTCTGGAAGTCTTCAAAATACTCTGTAATGACTTCAGTCCATTTTGGTAAGGACAAAATGAACCAGCAGTAAAAAAGTATAGCAGACATAGCATGAATAACATTTATTTATCTGGCTTTATACATACAAGAAGTATTCAATAAATGCCTGCTAACTTGGCTTGACCAGTAGCTGCGAAGCAGGATGTACAGAATCTGTTAGAGCAATAGCAATCTTCTCCCATGCATGAGCAGATTAGACTCAGTATAGTCTACATATAAATAATCTTGGACAGAGCAGGCCTGCAAGGCCAGAAAATGCAGATAGGGAATATCAGGTGCTGTTTGTTGCTTATCTGCTAAGACAGTTTTGCTTATGGTTAGAATTAGTTAGAAGTATTTTTGGCTGGGTGCATTGGCCTCACCCCTTAAACCCAGCCCTTGAGAAGCTGAAGAAGGGGGATTGCAAATGAAGGCCTGAGCTACAATGTGAGACCCTGTCTCAAAAATAAAAGAAGCATTTCTGCCTTTTACGTCCTCATGCTGTCTTACCGCATGGGAGTAATTACTCACGTAAGATAAACTACGTAGATATTAAGTTTGATTTATTTCACACCATCAGATCCATTGGTAAGATACCCACTCAATGATCCTAATGTGTCTGTGCATGGTCAGACAGGAGGCCTCGGTGGAAATCTCGTATTTTTCCAAGCTCATCTGGGACAGATGCCTCATGTAACTCTTAAAAAAATAATTTCACTGACGTTATTATTCGTTTATTATTGTTAATTTTAATAACATTGTTAGTTTATTATTAAAATTATTATAACAGAAATAAAAATTATTTTTGTTTATTATTTATTATTGATAACATATGACCAGATATTACCAGCTATCTTGTACAGAGTGGGTAGCATTTCATAATCATCGTGACTTTTAACAGTATTTATAGTAACCACCAGCTGCTATGATAACCTAACTCAAACGTTTAAACTTAGAGAGTGAATGTTAAATTGTGTTGAAGCTATAAACTTAAAAATCTCCATATGGTTCATTTTTTTATTTTATTTTGTACCAATATTGAGGTGTGAACTCAAAGCCTTGTGCTCTTTCTTGCTTAGCTTTTTCACTCAAGATAGCTCTCTACCGCTTGAGCCATGCCTTCACTTCTGGCTTTTTTTTCCCCTGGTTAATTAGAGATAAGAGTCTCTAGGATTTTTCTGCCCAGGCTGGTTTTCAACTGGAATTCTCAGCTCTCAGCCTCTTGATTGGCTAGGATTACAGGTGTGCACCACTAGCACCTGGCTTATAAGGTTTATGTTAAAGTTGAGATATAACATTTGTACCTACTATTCAAATCAAGTACTGTGTAGTGATCAATTGGGGGGTAATTAGCATTTTATTAGCTTACGTTTGTTATATGGAAAGGGGATTTCATTGTTACATTTCCACACATATTTTAAGCTATGAATTGTGCTTCAGTGACTTTTTTTTTCTTTAAGGATTTGTAAAGATGGTTTTAAGGAATTCTGACGTCTTGGTCTTGGCAATTCTTTCCATGACAGGATTTGTGCTAGGACAGCTGGCCTACCATTTCGTTGAGGTATCGTATGCTTGACGCTAGAGAATACATCTGAGGACCCAAACTACCAAATCCACCCCATGTCTTCCGGGATGTGCAGAATATTCTATTGTTGTAGGGGTTACTGAGATCAAGCCTAGGGCTTAGCGTGCCAGGCATGCATTCGCCTACCCATCCCCCTCTGTGGGATAGTTTTTTCTTAAACATGTGCTTACATGATTTCATCTGGCATTCAAACTTTTGCATAGGAAAGTCCATAATAAAGGAGATGTAAAATCAAGAAAGCTTAGGGAAACGCAGTGATTTGACAGTGAGGTGAATTCATTTGCACCATTGGGTTTTTTGGGTTTTCGGTCGTCTCCCGTCCCCATAGGATCCTCAAGGTCCTTCCTCACCACTGTCCTTAGCACCTGGGGAGACCCAGGGGGCCTGGCAGCAGAGGTTTCATTGATGAGACACGTCCACCCTTTCTGATCAGAGGAACTGTAAAATACCCATCATATAGCAGAGACGCAGTTTCATTCATGTAAACCTTCATTAAGGTATCTCGGTACCCATTTCCCATTTCAACTGGATAGTAATAGGGTCATTAACAATTGCTTCCACTCATTGTTTGATTTTTACTTTTTGAAATGTGATCATTCTTAGCCAGGCGCCGGTGGCTCATGCCTTTAATCCTAGCTACTCAGGAGGCTGAGATCTGAGGATCACGGTTCAAAGCCAGCCTGGGCAGGAAAGTCTATGAGACTCTTATCTCCAATAAACCACTAGAAAACCAGAAGTGGCGCTGTGACTCAAGCAGTAGAGAGTGCTTGCCTTGAGCTGAAGAGCTGAGGGACAGCGCCCAGGCCCAGAGTTCAAGCCCCACGACCAACGCCCCCCCCTCCCCAAAAAAGTGGTAATTCTTGAACGTATCTAGGGTTGTGAAGACTTTCTGGTTTCAGAAATACTACCTCTCTTGAGTGTCTGTGAATGTTTACTGAGTGCTTTATACTTGTTAATTTATTAGCTCATTAACTCCTGAGTTCCTTCACTTATATTTATTTATTTATTTGTGTGTGTGTGTGTGTGTGTGTGTGTGTGTGAGTACTGGAGCTTCAATTTGGGGTCTGGGTGCTGTTTCTAAGCTCTTTTTTTTTAAAATTTTGCTCAAAGCTTGAGCTACTGTGTCACTTCTGGCTTTTTGCTGCCTAATTGAGGATAAGAATCGCAGAGTTTCTGCTTGGGCTGGTTTCAAATAAAATCCTTAGATCTTAGCCTCCTGAGTAGCTGGGATTACAAGTGTGAACCACTGGCCTACTGTGAATTTATTCACTTTTGCAGCTGTTAAATGGAAATAGTACTGCATTACCATCTCATAGTTGAGGAAACTGAGGCACAGTTGAGGATTTTTTTTTTGTGGTACTGGGGATTAAACTTATGGCCCTGAGCTTGTTATACACGGACTTTACCACTTGAGCCACTCTCAAAGTCCTTTTAGCTTTTTATTTCTTTTTCTTTTCTTTTCTTTCTTTCTTTTTTTTTTTTTTT